CTGGTCAAGCAGGCAGGGGCCACCTTCCTCTGGTCTTTAGGGAATAAAGGGCTTCATTGACCCCATGAGGCTGAGGTATTTGCTCCAGGAAGAGCTCGGAGAGCTGACGTGGGAACTTGGGCGCAGGACGGTGCAGGGGCCTGGGTGGGACAAGCATCCCCCACCGGGAATGATGGCCCCGCTCAGCTGGGAGGGCCGCCCTCCGCCTTCTGCGGGCTGGCTGGCTGCTGTCTTGTCCCAATAAATTAAATCTGCTCCATCGTCACTGTTCTGTGCCCGAGACGAGCACTTCCAAGGCAGATTAGAAAGGAACTTAAGGGGATTAAAAGCTTCTCTTAGTGAAAAACAATGTTTCCGATGGGAAATCCATTTCCCAATATGAATTTCAGCAGAAATGCATGATTTCCGTGCGGCGCCGCTGCCGCTCGGAGAAAGGGGTACGTCCCCCCACACCTCCCGCCCTCCGCTTTGCATAAGTGAGAACGAGGATTCTCTCCCCGAGATTGATGGCTTCCATAAAGTCGTGCGAAAATGTTTCTCCTTTGTTCGCCAGGGAAAGGGAAAGTGTCTAATGGGTTTGGAGTATTAAACGAGTGTCGGTTTGTACTGGAAACCGGGACGTCCAGGAGTAAATACCAGACACCCAAGGAAATGGATTGGTTGGAGGTGGGAACAAGTCAGTGCTCAGTTATCTGCGTGCGGCCTCGCTGCCAGGGGTGGGGCAGAGGGGGCGGGAGGAGCCCTCCAGGGCTCCGGCTCCCCTGCCTGGCTGGCTGGCACTCTGTATACTCAGGGAATTGAAAGTCACTTTAATAACCCGGGTCCAATATAATTTGGAAGGTAATTCTGCTGCAGCAGCTATAAAGGAATCATGAAGACAGTCCAAAGGAGATGTAATTAATTTTTGTGCTATTACTCATAGGTTGGGATGCTCTCTGCCATTAGAAAGTTGACTTAAAATCCTGAGCTAATTCCCCAAAGCCAGTGTGGAGCTCCTGCCTGAGGGGAGCGGGGCGGGGAGGGGGGGGGAGGAAGGGAGGCTAAAACTTGGGGAACCTGCTGGGTCAGCCGCGAGCTGAGCTGTCCATTGCAGGGAGCTGGGCAGAGAGCTGCTGTCCGCACCCGTGATCTGGGGGAGCCTGGGGAGAGAAAGGCACACAGAGCTGCCTGTTGGGTTCCACCGACCGGTGAGTGAGTGTTGGTCTGCTGTCGGTGATTCGCAGGCAAACGGGGGTGGGGGGGTGCCGTGGGCAAACCCTGTCCCCAGTGTGCCCCATGGAGCTGGGAGTCTGTGACCATGGCTTCGCCTTGGCCAGACTGCAGAAAACCCCTCCCTGTGCCTGCTCGGCGTGGTGGAGGGAGCACGTTTTGGTGGGCAAGGACTAGAAGCCCATTGGTGCCAGCTCAAGGCGGGGAGAGGTGGTTGCAGGGACCTGAGACCATGGAGCTGGGCTGGGCTCAGAGGTCACCCAGCGGAGCTCCCTCCTCCTCTTCCTCCCTCCCTTCTCCTCTTTCCTTTTCTCTTGCCTGCAGTGAGGCTGAACCGGAGTCTTCCCAAGCACCCAGGCCTCAGCCGCCATCTCCCATGCCGGCCTCTTGAAGAGGGGCGCCCCAGCTCTCATGCCCCAAGCCAGGATGTTCCTGTGCGAAGCTCCTCCCCCCCACCCCCTGCCCCACAGAGACCTTCGTTCTGTCACACCACGCTGGTGCCACCTCTGGCGGGAGGCCTGGCCTCCTAGGAGGAGAGGCTGGGCTTCTGGAGGTCACGTTCCTCATTTCCGGCCCTAGTTAAGATTTGCTGGCAGGTCTGTGTGCCAGTCAGGAGCCAGGCGCTGCGTTAGGCGCTTTGCTAATGGGAAGATCTCTTTAAAACCTCTCAGTAGCTGAGAGGAAGTGCCCTCACCATCGCGTTTTACGGCTGGGAAGCTGGAGCTCACAGAGGGCCGGACTTGCTCAGGCCACACAGCCGGGTCAGGGTAGAGCGAGCTTTGAACCCGGGACTGTGGCTCTAGAGCAGTGGTTCCCACCCTTTTCTGGCCGCGCCCCACCTAAGCATCTCTAACATCCTGATGCCCACCCCCGCCCCCCGCCCCCCGAGCATAGAATTCTTATTATTCAAAAAGTGAGCTCCTCTTCACGTGGAGGAAGCCTGAAAGGCCGTTAACTTGGTCTAAACAAGCTTCCAAAGAACATGGCATCCATGAAAGAGAAAAATAAAAGGACAGTTGACATACTGAGGAAGAAATCACTAAGAAATTGTTAAAAATAATAATATGAAGTGATAGGAAAAAATAGCAAAGTTTCCAAACATGTAACAGGGACCTGAAATGCATCAATATGTCACAACACATATTTATATACTGTATATGAGGCCCCTGGAACCGTACGACATGCAAAAAATTCACTGAATTGCCCCCCCTTAAAAATCACATTGCCTCCCTGTGGGGCATGTGCCCACGTGGGGAACCACTGCTCTGCAGTATCCATGCTTTTAACATCACAGGGTTTTAATGGTCTTTTCACTGCAGCCCTGCAAAGGCCAGCGTGCAGCCCAAGAAACCATATGGACGGAGGTGAAAACAGTGGATTAAAAATTACATATTGTGAGCTGACGCCTGGGAGCCAGCGTCCACGGGGTTTCTTCACTCTGTGGCCTGGAACCCACCCTTCCCCCCAGGCCCCCGCGCCCCCTGCCCGCCTCCCCGG